TCGTTGATGAATATATTGAATAGTATAGGAGTCCTTGTATGCTCACAAGAATCTTAGTATGTGTTTTAGATACTTAGCAACTTTGTATTTTGGATATGGGTAAGGAGGTGAGCAAACTCCACTGAAGTCTCCTGAGGACCTTCATCCATCAGTTGTGCTCTTGATTTCATGTATTACAGACAGACAGCACAAGCACAACTATCATAATATTCCTTTTTAAAAGTGCTACTGGGGAGAGCCTTGGAGCTTAGCTTAAACGCTCTGGATACTCTGGTGGTGGCAAGTGAGTGGTTTTTAGGGTTTATAGTACTTTGTTTTTTCATCTCAAATAGATACTTATCAACACGGTACATGTGCGAAATACATCAGGAGTCAGATACACCATTGCATCTATTTGTCTGGTTCCACTTGGGTAGCCTCAAGTCTTTGTCTTCAGGACAGAACAATTGAAATAGTAGTTCTAAGAAAAAATATTGTTGAAAGATACAGGGAAGGAGTCAATCTGTAAGGAACAGGAGCCAGTGCCTAGTGCTACAAGGTCTATTAAAGTGTATCTGTTATCTTAAATTTTCTCATAATAACAAGACCTAAGAATATCTGCTTGGCTTAAAGAGAAGGCCGAGCACTAGTCTTGTTACTGAGCAGTCTCAAGGGCTAGCTCCATGTGAATAGTAGCTTAGTACTAGTTTCTAAGTAGCACCATATTTGTTTACAAGAAGCCCTTTAAAAGTTTAGAAGTTTGAGATTCCAAAAAGCTAATTTTTAATGTCCTCATCTTGTTGTTGTCCTAAATGATTTCAGAAGTATTGCTAATAAATTTTATTTTAGTCATTATTGGCTTAATTTTTTTTTGTTTTCGCTGAATACTGGATGAACTTCAGTGATTGTGTCCATCTGCATGTGCTTTCCCCCACATGCTTAGCACAACATTTGAATCAGTGCTAATATGTGCAAACCGTTGTCCTCTGTAAAAAGATAATTCAAAGCCTAGATGAGTGGAATGGTGTTTTTTAGAAAAGCAGCCTATTTAAATTCCAGTTAGTGTACCATGTTGTTCATATGGTTATACAAATATATTGCAACTTTACCTTAAACAATGCCTTGCACAAAGTGATGTTGAGATTTGATCACTCATATCACCAAGCACTATTAAGTAATCATTATTTATTATGCAATATGTGTTTTATTGATGTGTGTGGTGTGGTAGGTGTACATGTTTCTTCCTTATAGTACTGTGACCAATATTAGCCAATGAGAACAAAGTATTATGCAAAAAGATCTATTAAAAATGCCTACTAGGAATTAGCATTTGCTAGATTGCCAGTCAGACAAGGTTTTACAAGAATTATTGTCATTTTGATTTTCGGATGAGTCATTTGGTATATTGCCCCCAAAGGCACCTCATTATGATTCAGTGAACAGCATATAAAATTGCTTAGGCTTTTGGGGCTCCATGGAAAGCGAGTGGGGGTTGCGGTGCCTCAGCATTGTGAAGCAGCAGCATTATGCTTAATTGACACCTTTGATGTAGCCCTAAGACAGCACCTGCGCCTCCCACTGCTGCTCTGAAGACGTCAGCCTTACGCAGAAAAGGCTTCTGCTTATGAATCCTGCATCGCGTTCAGCTCACTCTGTGAGCAGCCCCAGCTATCCTTAACTAATCCCATTGCTTCTCAGTTTGGATACAGCTTGGCTTAGTACAGAGCAGGAATTTTACTGCTTGCTGTTATCAGGTTAAACAGTAAAATTTTGTCCATGTTAGAACTCATAGAAGGTAAGTCAAATGCCTTGTTGATATTCTAGTATGTGAATATTCTCCTAAGACTCAGAATCTGGGAATCTGATTGTTGGTTCTTTTTTTCCTGGTGCTGACAAATTTGGACTGTGATATAACAGTTGCTTTTTTAAGAGTATTTACTTATATATGTGATACACGCTTTGTAGTCTTTATGTCAGTGCTTCAGTGTGAACATTATTGATAGCCTCTCATGTGATTACTTTGTAGTAGAATTCTGTCCTCTGCTGGTATTGTTTTGTTAATTTAATGTCTAATGCCACATGCATGCAAAAGATGCTACTAAAATGATAGGCACTGACATACATGAAGAAAATTACTTATTTGAGAAAGTGATGCTTTGCTGTAAGTCAGACTTGAGGTGCTACATCCAGTTTATTTGCCTGTAGAAAGCCCTTCTGGGTTAAGTCTGAGGTGATGTTTGGGTTCATATAGTATTGCAGAAATCCTTTCAAATGAATGAGTGAGGAACAGCAAGCAGCTGATTTGTTCTTGCAAGCAATACTGCTTTTTATTTTTCGTGGGTTGCACTTCAAGCCATAACTAAATGGAATTAAAATATAGCAACTGTCTGTTAAGGTTAACAAAGCACCTTGTTCCCCATCACTTTCAAGCACAGGAACAATATAGTTTAAGAAAACATGATCATATTCTCTGCCATTGACTAAACAGTCATTTCAGGTTTGTTGATTATTTGCTTGTCCTCTGTATAAAAATTTGCTCCATGAGCCAAAACCCTGAGGAAACTTCTTTTGTTAATTACGTTATTTGATGTTTAAAACATTAAGCAAAACCAAATTAACCTCTTTGAGAAAAAAATAAAATAAATATGTTGATTAAAATATTTATTTGCTTTTAATAATGCCTTGTGTTTATTTTTTTTTCAACTTACTGCCCTTTTAGTGAATGGAACCCCTGGTAGCCAGCTTTCTACTCCCCGCTCTGGGAAGTCTCCAAGCCCATCTCCCACCAGCCCAGGAAGTCTACGGAAACAGAGGGTAAGGAAATAAGGAAAGTGATTTCTTAGCATGGCTGGGGAGAATCTGGCATAGCCATTATCTGATAGCCTTCTCCCCACTGATTCCTTGTGTGTAAAGTCATAGGGTGGGAAAGCCTGGCTACAGTCCTTGTTGTGTTTGTACAACATTCTGAAGTGGAATACAACTGCTCTGTGTCTGTCAAAATGCTAAGTATGTTGGGAAATGGTTTATCCTTGAGGGGGAAAAAAGAAGGGTATCTTTCTCCTTTTCTACAAAAGTTTGTTTTTGTTTTTTTTTTGTTTTAGTTTCTTTTTCCAAACGTTTTACAATTGGAAGGAGATGTTCACATTGTCAAAGATTTTTTTTTTGTTCTTAATTTGCCATGGGCATTACGTCACTTGCAAAACCTACAAACAGCTTTGGTTCTGAAGCAAGGTGAAAGAATGCACTATGGAATTTAGCTGTGGATTAGCTGAGATATCATAGCCTTGTGCAGTGAAGATACTATCAGTACCAAGGCAGCAAAAGACTTGTCAGTCACTTTGCTGGACCAGAGTTGTTAGTAGCTGTAAGTTCCCCCTAGTTATCATATATAGAGGAATCTACAGTGTACCTAAGCATCCAGAATTAAGATAGTATCTATGTTACTGCTATACCCTGTGACAAAATATCACTTGTTCAACCCAAAAGGCTCCACATACTGATTTAATTAATTGTATCTGTTCAAAAGCAATGGGACAGATGTCTATGTATCTTCTCTTCTGCTATTTTCTAAACTGTGATCAGTTCTCAATGAAAGCTTCCCTAAGGCGGTACTCTGTATCTCGGACTTGTTTATAAACACAGTTTGAACACATGCTTTTTCTGCCTTTTCGTTTTTTAAATAAAGACATAATTTGTGTCTCTTAAAGTAAGGGAATTATGTACAAAATTGGCAGCACTTGACTTTAGAGACTGGTGCAGAACCCAGATATCCAGATCAGGAATAGCTGTAGCATGGCATGACTCCCTTCTAGCCTGCCTTCTTCATGTCCAGTGGATACCAGGAAGCTGAGGAATTGTGCATGCCTAAGTCTTACCTCAGGCTGGGATACAGCCATGGATTTCTGCCATGACTTGTTTATAGATGTGGAAGCTGACTGTGATCTCGCAGCACAGAGATAGCCAGTGAGCTTGAAGCCTGAGGGTAGTGTCATGATTTTCATCATCTGGTACACAGGGGCTAAAGATGCAAGTTTCAGTTGGGTAAGCTGGTACTAAAATCTTGAATGCTCCACACCTGTTTCTTCTGACTCTCAAAGCTTATTAATGAGTCATTAATAAGTCACTGAAGAGGGAACAGAGAGTCTTCCGAATGAATTATCTGTAAGGGTGTCTGTTTAGATGGATGATATCAGTATACAGTGGATTTTCATTTGCTGTAAGGCTGTCTCTTTTTATTGGCAACTTTCCTAAACTTCCTTCCCCACCACTGACTCTTCTCTCTCCACAGTGAATAAATGTTTTTCTGTTAATGTTTGTGGATGGGTGAGTGGGAGCCATGTGGTCAGCACCATTAGGCACAGGGAGTTTTTGGCCCCTAGGTTTTGGACTTTCAAATGTGAAGAAGATAGCAGATGGGTTTCTTCTTGTCTGGGTTCTCTATGTGGAAGTGTAACAGGGTCACTGAGTGGCAGTAAGGGCTGTGTAGGGGTAACATAATCACATTGCTAACTGTATAGAAAATAAATATTTAAGTAAACTACAGGAGAGACAGGATATTGTTAGAGAGCTGAATTCTCTCCTCAGATATTCGTACCCAGTCCCCTTGACCTCAGTAGGGGACCTTTCATGCTTGTTTGGCTTTATTTTTTTTTTACGTGATGAAATATGGAATACATTCATGTAAAAATAGATTGCAATCATGTCAAAATGCATTGCAATAATATTATTTAGGTTACAAAATCGACTGCTCAAAAGTTCAGGGATGGAAACTTTACACTTGCTCTGAGAATTTATTTCAGCTCCTTTCATGTTTAACTTTTAAAGTGAATGAGCTGGAAGTTCAGTGTAAAAAAATGTGATTGTGACGTTAAAGGTCATAATGTGTATTCCAATGACTAAATTAGTTCTAAGAAGCCATTAGCAGTGCTTACTAATTGTAATTTGCTTGTTAGCAGTATAAATGGTGTTCTCTTTGGTTTAGAACCATCTTTTATATGTTGCCATTTAAATTTTATTTAGAGGACAGATTATTTTATGTGCCATGTTGTCATAAACCAAATTTGAACCCAGAGCATTTTGTTTTGTCTTCAAATTCTTCTTTTGGTTTCAGCTACAGGCTGACAAGCCATCTGCAGGGGAAGGTTTATTCCCTAGGAGGTTGTTGGTGTGATGTTATAGACCTGTAAGAGAGGAGGCTGATTTCAGTGCCCACCTTGTCCCTACTGTTGAGAGGTGAGGTATTCCTGCCTCAAAACAAAAGTGGTGGCTGTTAGAGCCGTGGTCTGTGATTGAAGGTGATGGCTGGGTTTCTGAGTGGTCTGGGTTTCCCTCTTTACATGCAGTTTGAGGCAGCTACTCCTTTAGAACTGAAATAAGATGCTTGGTCCTGGGAATGCCAGCTCAGCTGTGTAATTTGTTTTTTCTCTGCTCCTCCCTCTGTGTGCTTAGTTAGAGGAGTGCCTGTGCTCTCATGCCATCAGGTACATGGGATGCCAGGGTTATGTGCTGGGTCTGGAAGGTGATAAGGAGAGTTGATAGGAAGCATAGCCTGATTCCCCTTGACTTAACTAATCAATCAGCTCTTCAGCATCCCCATCCGAGTACTATGAGGGACTTGTAGGCTTGGTGTGTCAAAATGCTGAGGTGAGAGGAAGTCATGCTTTTGAATTCAGAGGCACAAAAGCAAGGCACTTCCACAAACTGAGGGCTTTCTCCCTGTGAATAGTAAAGACCTGTAAAAATAGTAGAGATGGTAGAGTTTTCCAAAGAAAATATTCCTTCTAATTAAGGATTGCATTAGGCAACTTGAAATAGGGGTCAATCATCTTACTTACTGACATTTCATCACTCACCTTTTTTAAAAAAGAAATTCTGGCCTTTGATGGAAGGCTTTTCATTGATGTAAATAAAGCCAAAAATGCTGCTGTGATACATAGTCATGAAAACAGTACTCTTGTAACCCTACAGATAAAATTTTGTACCCTCAAAATCCAGAACATAAAAACGTAAAGTTTTATAATTTCTCACTACCATATGTATGTGGCTGAGTTGTTTCCAGAAATTCAGAAATCAGTAGAAGTTTTATTTTTATAATCTTGGGTGAAATTCAAACTTTGAGGGAAGTAAGATTTGAAAGATTAATTTCATGGGTGCAGTACAAGGACTTGAAAGTTAAATAGAAACCATTTATCAGCTATCTGAGCTATCAACCGATTATCAGCTTTTAAGTATTTTAACTTGCAGGCTGTGTACTATAGTTATGCTTTCTTGTGGTTTAATTATTTCTGTATATTTATTCCTAAATAGGACATTAAGATTCTTGTTTTTAAATGGTTATGTACTTAACTGTGTATTTCCATAGAGGATGAAAACATCTGAAATTCAGATTTATAGCAGCTGAAGTAGAGAGTTATTGTGTTGCATATGCATATAGTTCCTACCACAACAGAGTACAGTTAATGACACAGACTCAGAAAAGGTGATGTGGTGATCGTAGTAATAAATATAAGTAGTGACAACCCCCACATTTTATTTAACTAGCTTTTATAATAGTTTATATGATTATTTTCCCACTGTGTTGTAATCAAAGTCATTAATTCAATTAAGGTGGACACATTCTATACTTTATACCTGATTTTCTGTTGCTTGTCATTATTTTAATTTTTTTTTCAATTTCCCTAGAGAGTAAAACCTATAGAATAATAAAAAAATAGATTTAAGGTACCCCTTGACTAATCAGACAAAGTAGGATTCTAGGTATATAAGGTTTTTTTGAGTTGTATATGGCCAAGAAGTCTTACTCGTTCTGCAAGTTTTGTCTTTTTATTAATCTATGCAAAGTAATAAATAGGTTCTTCTCATATTTTTTCTGAAATATAGCTCTTCGGCTAATTACAGGCAAGGAAAATTCTTGCAGAAGGGAAAACTTTAGAAAAGTTTCAAGTATTTAAAAGTATTTGAAAAAACAGAGAATATGATCCTGAAATCTGGTGCATGATTTTGCTCTAAACCAACCGTAGAGTTATTAAATAAACACAAAACTATTCCCTAAATATTAAAAGTCAGTTTTCACAAATATCTTCTTTGCAAGTTCTGAATGCATTTTGTTTTTATTCAGAGGAGTGAGCAGTTACCTGGAAGACACTATTCAAAAGTTTGGAGTGTTACATTCCCCAGCAACTAATTTTTTTTCCGTACTATGTTTTAGAAAATCCTAAACTGTATATGGTCAAAAGAAATTTTAGTAATAATTAACTAAGTAGTTAGTGTTCAGAATGAGATGGTCTTGTCTGGTTAAAATTCTTTTTTCTAGATTGTTCATAACAAAATAGAAATATATTTAAGATCTGATTTTCACTCTGCCAGTCTAACATGTCTGCTACTATATGTACACATGCCCATTGGCAGAATACATGCAGAATAAGCATTCTAGGGAATGAAAAACCCCTTTAAGGAACTTAAACCCCCTTTATGTCAGGCCTACAAGTAAAACATAAACCTTCATAGATTACAGAGATCCTTGTGAATTTGAAATTCGTAAAACAGTCATTTTAGTTAGTCCATGTTTAGTTAGTCCATGTTTTACAGAATAGCTTTTAAATTTGTTTATTTTTTGTCTCAGTTATCTCCTGTGATTAAAAAAAAAAACAAAACCCCTAAATGAAGTTCAGCCCTAAAGCAGGCTCCATCAGCCTTTCCATTCTCGTGTATTCTTGTATTTTGTCTTGTAATTGTTTTGTTGCATTTTGCAAACACATTTTATACTTCAAGGATCCCCCAGAACACCTTAAAGGTACCAGATCTTGGCTATGAGG